GGGCTTGAACTCACGAATCATGAGATCATGACCTGAGCCGAAGTTGGGACACTTAACTGGCTGAGCCACCCAGGTGCCCCAGGAATTATTTAAATTCTTAATCTCATGGAATAAAAAAGTTTATATTTTCTAACATTAACTCGTGAACTAAGATGTGTTACCAAGATACACTATAAGATAATTAGAATGAAAGCTAATGTAACCTTTATGCTCACTTTCACAGATGCATGAAGAGAAACGATCTACTACATTAAAAACGTTAGAAAATTCCGGGACACCTGGGTGGCTCAGCGGGTTGAGTGTCTGACTTCAGCTCAGATCTGATCTGGCGGCTTGAGTTCAAGCCCCACATCGGGCTTGCTGCTGTCAGTGCAGAGCCCATTTCCTATCCTCTGTCCTCCTCTCTCTACCCCTCCCTCCCTCCCTCTCAAAAGTAAATGAACATTTGGGGCATCTAGGTGGCCCAGTCAGGTGGGTGTCCAACTGTTGATCTCTGCTCCCATCACGATCTCACAGGGAGTTCGAGACTCACATCGGGCTCTTCACTGATGGTGTGCAGCCTGCCTGGGATCCTCTCTTTCCTTCTCTCTCCCCCTCATCTGCTTGTGCTCTGTCTCTCTCTTTCTCTCTCAAAATAAATAAACTTTAAAAACAAACATTTTTTTTAAAAAGTCAGAAAATTCAGACTTACTGTAGCTTTAAATACTTTATCCAGGTTTACATCTTCAGTATTCCATATTCTCAAAACCTTAAATCAAAACATACAAGTTAAGAAAGCATTCCAGTTTTCATTTACACATAACAGTTTTCATTTACACAGTTAATAAATCAACACTTGTGCTGTATATATTATTATATAAATAGTTTTAAAACTCACCTTATTATCATGTACAACAATAAACTCTCCAGTTTGAAAGTTGCACACAGCTGGACACGTTATAATTTGGCCTTGTTTCACAGACCAGCTCCCCAAGGGTTTCTGATCAGAAACCTAGTAAAATTAACATACGATATTCAAAAGGTCAATTTCAGATATTATAAGCAATTAAATTTACAATCAAGACAAAGGAAGAAATCATTAACATAATAGCATTTAACAAACTTCCTAAATTAAAAAAGTAAGTAGTCACAAAAGACAGTGTATGATTCCACTTAAGACAGAAAGTAGAATGGTGGTTTTCAGGGGCTGGGAGAATAGAGATTTACTGTTTAATGGTGGAGTTTCAGTTTTGTAAGATGAAAAGAGTTTGGGAGGTGGAGGGGGGGTGATGACTGCACAACAACGTAAATGCACTAAATACCCTGAGCTGTATGATCAAAAAATGGTTAAGATCTAAGCTTTTTTTTTAAGTAGGCTCCATGCCCAGCATGGAGCCCAACGTGGGGCTTGAACTCACAACCCGGAGATCAAGACCTGAGCTGAGTGAGATCAAGAGTCAGAGGCTTAACCAACTCAGCCACCCAGGCACCCCGAGATGAATTTTATGTGTATTTTACTACAATTAAAAAACATAAAAAATTTTCAAAAAGTAATTTAAATGAAAATATGACTAAGTTTCTAAAATGAAAATGTAAATAAACAACACTATTTAGTGAACAGTACATTTAAAAAATGGATTCCACTGTGCATTTGAACAGAGGCATGGGAAACTGAGTAGGGACAGTCCCGATCATGTCAGTTTCAATCAGCCACTGTATTCCTACGCAGGAACTACAAAATTTTAAGTCCACTAGACAGCCAAGGTAAAAACCAACAGTGTCATCAGAGGAGTCAAGGGGCACCTGGGTGGCTCAGTCAGTTAAGCTTCTGACTCTTGATTTTGGGTCAGGTTGTGAGGTCATGGTTCGTGAGTTCGAACCCAATATTCGGCTCTGTGCTGGTCAGCAGGCAGCCTCCTTGGGATTCTGTCTCCCTCTCTCTCTGCCCCTCACTCGCTTGTTCTCTCTCTTAAAATAAATAAAAATAAACTTAAGAAAAAAAAAGGAATGTTGAGAATCTGTTCCCCAAACTTCCAAGTAGACAGCTAGCTTCTTAAAGACACGTGAAACTATGTTCAGCAGCCCAAATAAAACAATTACTTTCTATGAGACCACTAAAAGCACAACGTAGAACGTGTGGTGAGCCAAGAGCGAGGATGAAAAGGGGGTGGGACGTATAAAGCCTGTTCAGGACTCAACTCCAGGATTTATTTACAACACGGGAGTTGGCAAGAGACAGCTTACTCGGAATCAAAATTCCATCAAGCTACCAAGGAAACAAACAATAAAACAATCCACACATCTCTTTTCCCCAAAGAGAGGGAAGCAGGGTATGGACACAAACACTGTTCCCATGCTGCCAATCATGCTCTCCCGCCCAATCTCTGTTCAACCTTCTGCGGGCAGCTGGGGTGACAGAAATCCCAGGAGGGGATGTTAAGGCCCTGTCGGAGAGATGCGAAGCGAAAGCACAGGTTTTCTTTTCGTTTCTGAGTATAGCCCACGTGCACTTAGACGCTCCGCCACTTGCAACTCCGAAATATGCCTCTCTCTCCAGGAAAACAGCCGAATCCTATTCTAGACCTCACTCAGCGTCCCGGAGGGGCCAAGCCAGCTCTCCAACAAGCTGCTCGGCGATCTCTTTCTGAAGCCGTGAGAAACCTGCGGCTCTAGCTCAGTGAACAGAAAGGGGCAAGACCTCAGCGGGGGCTCTCCGATCACATCGCCCTCACCTTATAGAGGATGACGGTCCTACCGCCGTGCGTCACTAGAAACTGGTCTGTTTTGTCGCTCTGCTCCACACCTAGGAGTCCGTTAGGCCCGGCACCCAAGGGTACCGTAGACAACGTGAATTCCTCCTCCAGGGCTGCCATTTTGGGCAAACCTACAGACGGCCGCGCATCCCTCCCGGCAGGCTTTGCGCTTTCTATCGCGAGAACTAGGATCGCAACTGGACAGGCGCTCGCCAAATAACAAACCTGTTTGCTGAGCCTGCGACCTCTGCCGGGCGTGGCGGGCATGCAAGGCTGTGGGCGCCGCCGGGTGGGCGGAGCCTGGACTTTCCTTCTAGACTCCGCCTCCCAGCCACGCCCCGTCAGCGTCCCGGATGTACTCTGCGTGACGGGGATGGGCAGGCTGGGGAAAGCTTACGTTGCGTACAGCTGCCCAAGATGCAGCGCCTTCTGCTAAGGATTTGAGAGTCTGAAGGCTGGGCGTGGCAGGTGACCAAACAGAAATAAGCTCGTTTTTGTTTTGGTTGTGGGTTTGTTTTTGTTTTGTTTTGTTTTGTTTTTACTCTACGTGAACTCTCTGGGAATTCTTTACCAAGGCCTCAAGGAACAGTGTGCTAGAGAAATTTACCTCTTTAAATAAACTCGATAAAGTCCTGTACCTAAGTGAGATGCCTAACCCACCTGCATCTGTCTCAGTCGCCTTCTGTTTCTGAGCCCTGTCTAGCTAATAAGAACTTGTCTGATAGAAGGTGAAGGGCAAGGTCCTCTTGGGCAATTTTTATTTACATCATTTCTGGGAGAGATTTCTAATGTCAACATGATTGAGTTAACTAGTAATGTAAAAAAAAATAGGGGCGCCTGGGTGGCGCAGTCGGTTAAGCGTCCAACTTCAGCCAGGTCAAGATCTCGCGGTCCGTGAGTTCGAGCCCCGCGTCAGGCTCTGGGCTGATGGCTCAGAGCCTGGAGCCTGTTTCCGATTCTGTGTCTCCCTCTCTCTCTGCCCCTCCCCCGTTCATGCTCTGTCTCTCTCTGTCCCAAAAATAAATAAACGTTGAAAAAAAATTAAAAAAAATAATAATAATAACGATAAATAGTTCATGTTCTTAGGGAGAAACCATCTAAATGGGCAATTACTAAAAAACCTATATCAGGTGTTACATCAGGGCAACATTTAAATCAAGCATCCACATGGATCGCCTTATGTGTGGAGATACTTTATGGCTACAACATTACAACACTGGAGACGAGGATATTTAGCTACTGTAAAGGAATCAAATACTGTAAACTCTTAATAAGGCTAACAGGCCTTTAATTTTTCAAAGTTGCCAAGGAATTTGACTACGAATTTGTGGCCCCTTTGTTAGTTGGAAAAGAAGTAATATGAGATTCGACCCATCTTGGCCTCTGTGAAACCTTCCTTTTCCTCCCAGGACAGTTAATCGGCCTCTCCACTGAATGTTGTCTGGTGCATACTGCCCACGGTTTGGTTCCAGCCTAGACGTTGCCTCCTCCTCCAGGAAGCCTACCCTGATTCTCTGGGACTGGATTAAATGATTCAATGCACCGATGTTATTGTAACATGTGCCATCCAGTACTGGGAAAGCCTACTCAAATATCTGACCCATTATGTTTTATTTCTTTGAAGGAACTCTGGATTTTTCACTAGTATCTGGCATAATGCCTGTCCCATAAATATTTGTGCGACTAATGAATAAATAGTGAAAGCTTACTCATAATTTTGAATTTGTGTTTTCCCTTTTCCTTCAGCTTGAAGACTTAAAACAGGGGTTCTTGGGATATCTGGCTCACTCAGTTGGAAGAGGGATAGCTGGATAGCTCAGTGAGAGGCACAGGCAGCTCTGGATCTCAGGGTTGTGAGTTTGAGCCCCACATTGGGGGTAGAGATTACTTTTAAAAATTAAATAAATACAGGGTTTCTCAAACTTTGTGATTTCAAGATTCCTTTACATTCTTTTTTTTTTTTTTTTTTGGATTTTATTTTAGGTAATTTCTATACTCACCATGGGGCTCAAACTCAACCCCAAGATCAAGGGTCACATGTTCCATGGACTGAGCCAGCCAGGTGCCCCAGGATTCCTTCAAATTCTTAAAAATTATTGAGGATCACAAGTAGCTTTTGTTTCTACGGATTATATTTATTGATATTTGTTGTATTGGAAATTAAAACTGAGGAATCAGGAGAAAAGTTACTCATTTTAAAATAGTAATAACTACGCTTGGTGGCACAGTCGGCGTCTGGATTAGCTGTACATCCGCTGTCCGGAGTTCGGTGCCCCAAGGCCGGCTCTGGGCTGATGGGCTCAGAGCCTGGAGCCTGTTTCCGATTCTAGCCTTCTTCTTTCCTCTGCCCTCCCGTTTCATGCTCTGTCTCTCTCTGTCCCAAAAATAAATAAAACGTTGAAAAAAAAATTTTTAAAAATAGTAATAAACTCATTACATAGTAACATAAATAGTATTTTTTATGAAAAATAATGTGAAAGACAACTTTTTTAAGTTTATTCATTTTGAGAGAGAGAGAGACAGTGAGTGAGGGAGGGGCAGAGAGAGAGAGAGGGAGAGAAAGAATCCCAAGCAGGCACTGCGCTGTCAGCACAGAGCCTGACACAGGGCTTGAACCCACAAACGGAGAGATCATGACCTGAGCTGAAGTGGGACACTTAACCGACTGAGCCACCCAGGCGCTCCTACATTTTCTTTCCATTCTTTCTTGTGATAGAGGTTATGGGCTGAATCATCCCCTCCCCTAACCAAGTTAATATGTTGAAGATTTAGCCTCCAGTACCTTAGAATGGGACTGTATCTGGAGACAGAGCTTCAGAGAGGTCATTAAGGTAAAATGTGGTCATTTGGGTAGGCCCTAATCCAGTATGACTGGTTTTATTATAAGAAGAGGAAATTTAAAAAGGAGAAGGAGAAGAGAATAGGGCACAGACCCACAAAGAGGAGGTCTTGTGAAGACATGAGGAGATAGCCATGGACAAGCCAAGGAGAGAGAGGTCTCAGAAGAAGTCACCTTGAAGACACCTTGATCTCAGACCTCTAGGACCCAATTATGGCAGCACCAGGAAACGAATACGATAGGTTACGCAGAATTCCAAACATGCAAAGGCTATGTGGAGTAAAAACTCTCCCATCCCTGTCTCCAGCTACCCTATCCTCCTCCTCAGAGATGATCAGTGTTACCAATTTTTACGTAACATTTCAGATAGATTTTCTACCCATATAAGTCTTCTGTACGTACACCTTTTTTTCATCTCGCTTTTACGAAAAGGATGGCATAGTGTATCCGGTGCCCTGCCCTTTGCTTTTTTCACCTAAATAATATGTCTTGTAGCTCACTCCCTATCAATACATAAAGAACTTTCTTCTTCTTGATTCTTGCATAATCGGTAATAGATTTTTGATGGTTTGGGGATTTCATGAAATATGCAGCCATATATGGAGTAGCTATTGATATCACTCTATTTTTTAGGTTGGGTGGTGGGTTCAGGAATATGTGTTTTATTACGCACGTATTATGCTTTGTAACTTACATGATTATAAGTGGCAAGGAGGGGAAAAAAAAAGCTCAGAAGGGGGAAATGAAAAGGGGAGGGGGGAATTGGATGATAAGTGTGTATGTGAAATTTTAGTAAGGATGGGACCATAGAAGGTGTTCTTGAGAAGATGTCTTTTGAGCAAATGACATGAAAGAGGAGAGGGAGCTAATTATGGAGTTAGCCGAGACAAGAGCATTGTCCGCAGAAAGTGCAAATGTCCTGTGGCACAAGCAGGGGACTTTATTGGAAGGCTATTGTAGTTACTGTAGTTATCCAGGTGATAGATGATGAGGATACCATCATCAGAGAGGCCTTCCTGTCTACCTTGTCTAAAACAAGTCTTGCCCATCATTCTGTTAACAATTTGTTTCCTTTTTATCATAGTTTGTAAAATTTTAAAAATTAGTTTTCTCACTCACCTAGGCTCCCCAACTATATCATAAACTTTTTTTTTTTAGTTTATTTATTTATTTTGAGAGAGAGATTGAGAGTGCACACACAAGCGAGCAGCAGAGGGGCAGAGAGAGGAGAGAGAGAATCCCAAGCAGGCTCCATGATGTGGAGCCCAATGCAGGGCTTGATTTCCCCAACGTGAGATCATGACCTGAGCCTAAATCAAGCAGCGGATGCTTAACTGACTGAGCCACCCAGGCGCCCCTATATCATAAACTTCTTGGGCATAGGGAGTCCCTGTCTGTCCTATTAACCTACACATCCTCATTTCCTGGCACTTAGTAGGTACTCATTAAAAATATGCTATTTAGGGGCGCCTGGGTGGCGCAGTCGGTTAAGCGTCCGACTTCAGCCAGGTCACGATCTCGCGGTCCGTGAGTTCGAGCCCCGCGTCGGGCTCTGGGCTGATGGCTCGGAGCCTGGAGCCTGTTTCCGATTCTGTGTCTCCCTCTCTCTCTGCCCCTCCCCCGTTCATGCTCTGTCTCTCTCTCTGTCCCAAATAAATAAATAAACGTTGAAAAAAAAAATTTAAAAAAAAAAATAAAAAAAAAATATGCTATTTAAATGAGTGAATCGATCACTTTACATCTTTGCATTCCTAGCACCAGCAATTGTGTCTGATCTACATAAAGGGTTCAATACAGGGGTGCCTGACTGGCTCAGTCAGTGGAGCATGTGACTCTGGATCTCGGGGTCATGAGTTTGAGTCCCATGTAGGGCATAGGGTTTACTGTAAAAGAAGAAAGAGTTTAATATACGTTTGTTAAGTAGAAGAACACTCACATGGCAAGCCATTGTAATAAATGGGCTGTGGGCTTGATCCATTAGGATAAAGTAAGACTTGGTGGTTGAGAAAGCTGAAGCTGCATTTGCGTGTTCATCTGTAAATTCGAGTCTAAGTTTGGTAAACTATTAAAGGAGATTGCAATCCTTTCTGGAAGGACACCAGCCGTAACAAGGGAACTAGGAGGCTTCAGTAACCTAGTCTCAGATAAGAACGGGTCAAAATGTTCCACTTCCAAGATGCATCAGTCAAGGTCAATGAGCAAGAACATAGCCTGGGTATCCATCGCCAGTGAGAGACACAGAAGAGCCAGGCTTCAAAGGCAGCTGTGACCCTGTACATTT